AAAAATGCACAGGAGGGCTTAATTTTACGCGTCCTTTGTTCTTAATTTCTCTGTCAATTAATGGGATGCATGCAAGGCGCCGTTAAAAAAGTGTCCAAAAGTTGTCTGAAATAAAAGACATCCTTAAGCAATCATACGTGTAACGAGTCCTAACGTGGGTAGAGCTGAAACAATCTTCCCTGATAGCACCTTCTACTCTTATCGTCGCCATGCATTCAAACCGCTTTCGAAACATATTCCCAATTCCATTATTTTATTACTTAAAACGGTCCTGCAAGGAGCAATTAGCATCTACCGCTCAAATTGCCACGTAGTTTCTACAAAATCATCGTCGGTCTACGGCATCCCGTCACATAGTTTTGCCATATATCCATTCTGCCGGTCATATAGGAATCTGCAGGAAAGCAGAACTGTTTCTGAAATGTGATATTTGGTCGTAGACCCTGGATGATTCGTTAATAACGAGGCCCCAGATTTTTTATGCCATGGTCATCTTTTAAGTGGCAACACGCCCCCACAACCGCCACAAAAATTGAATCGTCTTCTCTGTCCAAACGGCTATCTGCAATAGGAAACATATACGCACGTGGTCTTGAAAAATGTCTTCAGGTAACCCCTTCTGCAGCTTGGTGAAACTGCGAGTAAACTAGTTCTCGAACACGTGTGCTCACTCACAAATTAAAGGTAATTCTGGAAATAAGCACTAAAACTGTGCCTTTAACTACCTTGTGAAACCAAAAAAGCTCTTTGCAGACACCTCATTGTTTCTTGCCTTTGTGTTTTCACTGGGTTTGCTGAATGACACATCTGCTGTAAACTAAGTCTGACGTTCCTTCATGGGGTACCTAGACAATTGTCGGTGCTTGCTATAAAACAGTCTTCAAAACATCCATATCGATGGTGAATTAAAGTGACGGGTCGCTGAGCGGCATTCAGCATGCATAGAGATATATGTGGCATGTAACTTAATGAGATCCTATCCATGAGGGGATGGGTGGTCATCCTAAGGGCGTAATCTCTTGTTTTGGTCCTTAAGGCACCGTGAGAGTGCCGAAGGTGATCAGTTACTAAAAAATGCATGCTCATAGGAAATTTGACCTAAAGATTGTTTATTTATCAACGCTCTGCACAGAAGACTCTGAGGAACCCAGAAAAATTGCCGTTGAGAAAGCTGAAAGGTCAAAAATATTCAAAAAATGCTTGATGAACGAGTAGTCTTTGAAAAGCTGGAATGCCTCCACTAATTCTGTAAAAACTCAATTATTTTCTAAAATTCAGAGAGGAAAGTGCCTCTGGGCTTATGACATAGTAGGCCATTCCCTCCCCCTTCCTTAAGGGACGATTGTTGCATCCTTGATGTCCTATTGAACTTGTCCTTGTTGTCATATCTTGAGAAAGACTCAAGAAAGATCTTCAACACACTAATTTCCGTCGTATTTAGCTGTTGCAGCTGGAAGGAAGACTGAGCCCGACGACTTTTCACTGGACATCTGGTCAACAATGTTAATGATTAACTGCATTGAAAACGGACGGTCACGGCTAAAAATAGGTTTCTCTTAATAGGACGTGCCAATAACGTCGTCGTAGGTCGTGGAAGGCTGTCTCGGAACGCATCTGCGGGGTTCAGCTCAAAGTTCAGAAAGTCGTGATTTCTCCGACAAAAGTGTTTTCCGTTGGACTGAAGCAGGAGTACAGCCTCTTCGCTTCGAACCATAGCAGTTTAGCCTGACCACTAGGGGGTTCTTTATTTCTCTGCGGTCTGCATATTTCTTCAGCCTTGGTAGAGACCCAGTTATTCTGGGCATTTCTCTGTCATTACTATACTAGGTTTCGGCATTGTTGGCACGCGTCTTTGTTTGCGATTCTGCTGGGGATGGTCGGGATCAGGTGCAGTTTCTTCTTTGTCGGAGGGCAGGGTGCGCATTGCTATGGTCCTAGCATGAAACATCACTTAAATTGCTTCTTTCATACTCATTGGTGTATCCCATCTTCCAACAAATGATATCGCCAGAAATTAAGCTGGCACTTCACCCAGGTATCCAGTCTCCCTCATCTTCTGTCCGCAGCCTCGGGTCTGGTCTTGCACGTTTTGCAGGTCATATGTACAAAAAGTATTGTCTTTGTCCAGCAACAGTTCCGAATGTGATCCGCAGTGTCTTGTTTAAGGAACTTACTATGACTGTCTGACTGGGTGCGTGTCGCGGATGTTCCCTGAGCTTGTCTGCAACCACAGCGAAATGTTTCATATTAATGGAGCTTGCCATTACGTGTAAAAAACTATAGACGTGGGTTAAATGAAACTTGAACAGTCAAAATTGTGATTGACACGTTAGAATGACATTCACTTGACAGCAGGACTGTAGTGGGGGTCCCGTTCGTTTATTATCAAAACGTGTACAGTACACTGATGCGATTATGCGACGATCAACGATCGCATGGATCACGCTCGACTACACTGTAGCCAACGCCTCCACCCTAAAATTGAAAATTACTTTTTTGAGTCCTAGCTGGATCGAGCCGCCGGAAAGTAGTCATTGACGCAGCTGCCTTTTGGAATGGCAGAGATGAAAAGCAAACTCAGTCCAAAATTTGCCAATCTATGCCGGAAATTACCGTCTCAAATCAGTCTGTGAGCTAAGCTGCTTTTAGGAGTACGTTCTAAGGCAGGCTCAAAACCCCTAATATATAAAGTGGTCTTGGAGGTCTAACGCTCATCCGTGAGGAGAAATGTGTGTGAAAAATTCTAGATACCTCTGCCCAAACTGGTGCACAGTATGGGAATCGACCTATACCACGTGCAGTAAGAACTATGCCCGAACAGATCCCAAACCCGATTCTGCGGACCCCGCTGCTATATTCGAAAGGCGTCTATGTTCTGAAAGGAATTTGTGACTTATTGGTGGAAGCACGTGCATTGAATGCTGGAATGGATTTGAGATGAGCCAATTCGGAGGTTCAGTTAAAAAAACACTGAATTTAAACCAGCATTTCTTTATGGCTGTGAAACTCGGAACTCCGTACAATATGTCTATAGTTTCAAGTTTCCCCTTGTCTTTTATTTGCAACAGTTTTTTTAGTTTTCAAAGCAAGTGTGTCACGTTCGGGTGTGCATATGCAGTTTACAGGGCTGAATTGCTTTTGTAAGATGAAAAATTTGGCATTTCGATGTACAGCTCGTTCTGCGTCATTTTTCATCGCACGCCCTGTACTTTATACATGTCCATCTTAATTCAGATATTACCTAGACTACGATACAACAGCCTGTGCAAATGACCGACAAATTAATTGACTTAGCAGTTTTTTGCGGATGTGAATCTTACATATAATCAGGAACGTTTGTCGAAAATACTTCCCATGACTAAACCTGAATTGTTCGTTGCCGTCATCATTAGTCGAATGTGTTTGTCATTCCGCTCAACGAAGTGATTATAACCCACTGAGCCGCTAGATTCAGACTCAATAACGTAAGATCGGAGCAATATTTGAAGACCGTGCATTAAAAGTTGGTCATTGGAATATGTTGTAGCTAGATCTTTCATTTAGTGATTAAAGAAGTTCTTTTAGCTGATAGGCCATCTCTTATATCACGATTAAGGGCAGTCGTACACGGTTAAATGAGGGTTTAGCGTCTGACAGCCCAATGTGTCTGCCAGATTGATCTTCGTCTTTCGTCACTCTTCAACCTATTTTTGTCAAACATCAACTATGTTTGACCTACAGAAATCATTTCGGGCACGTAATTCCGTCGAAATCAAAGATGACAGGCACATTTTCATATCTCCACTTGTTCGTCGCAGGCCAACCTCGTTTGAAAGTAACGACACTGATGAAAAATAAATGCGTCCTAATGCCCAATCTCTTGGCTGCCCTGACGCCACTCTATGCGGGATCCACTCAAGCGCTCAGGCTAACTCAGACAATTATGCTTCTTAAGAGATTTTGCACATTAGAGTCATTGGTAAGCCAGTTTGTTGTTGACGATCAGCTCTGCCTTAGAACGCTGTGGCAGAGACATTATCAAGAAATAAAATTAAATGGAATGCATTGAGGAGGCAATAGTTCTAAGGCCTTCTTTTTGTCACTTTTCAGGGTGGGCTTTCGTAAGCAACTGATGTGAATTTCACACTCACTTCAGCGTCATGGATAAGAATTGAGAGTGAATGATTCGTGCGATCAGGACTGTTGATCACAACTCCCAAGGAGAAGAGGAGACTCAATGACGTTCCACCAAAGGGTTTGAGAACACGTCCTTCTCGAGTCAGGTTTTCGTAAAAAACTAGACGATTTGTTGTGGTGGCGGGTTGGAAGAAGTCGCCACACAGGAAGGCGTGACCAGGCACACACGCAAGTCGGAGAGTTAGGATCCAGTCGCCATGTAACCGAAGGCACTGCGGCGGAAATAAGTTTGAGTTATTTGAATGTCCATGCTTAAGGCTGCATTTGGCTTTTGACTGGTGATAGGCGAAGTTCCTAGCACACCAGCACATTACACATCTGCTATCCTGTAGATTAAGATTGTGGTTTTGTTTTCTCACCTTAGCCTAGAGGTATGTATAATGTGCCAGTTCGGTCCTGTGCTTTGGCTTTTTTGCTACTTTTATGAGTCATTTTCAAGCTGGTGCGTTTTTTCTGTTTATCTTAAACTGTTCTGCCGATTTTCTGTTAGCAGTGGCTTATTCATTGACGTAGCACCCTTTACTTTCCATCTCAGATCCCCCTCTATGCAAGTTCTAACGATCGGATCTAGTTTGAGGTTCAGATATTAGCCATTTAAACTTATTCCGGAAATTTTACGCCACTGAAAGTAATCTGCAGCGCCTATTTCTTGTGCATACAAGTTCCTTGGTCCCGCCGATGGTATTATTTATGTATTGAGTCCTTTTAAATATTGACCAACCAATACTTGAAACGGTGGAATTTTACTGCGCTGAAATCCAGGCGGATTAGTAGACAAGGTCACTCGGCTGTCGTACGCTTGCCCCCAGTTCGACCGTCTACTCATGCCCTTCGCATCCTTTAGGAATATACAGAAGAAAAATGCGCGACTCCATAGAGAACGCGCACAGGTTTGTTGCACTCTTGAGCTGGTTAATAGTCGTAGCCGGCGGCGCGAGCTAGACTCGGCATACTGCCGAAGAAGAAGGACTTCATTTTGCGGTCACGGTAGGCTTATCGTTTTAATAACTGGTATTTTTGAAAGGGATGAGGAAGGCAAACGGAATAGAATCAGGGAGCTTAAGAGGAAAGCTCTGACGAAGAATGAGGATGAATTTTATTTTGCCATGCAGAACTCGAAGCTGACAGTCGGGATTTCGTTTTAGATTAACTCGTTTTAGACAGAGAAGGGATACACTCCACTGAACACTGAAAAAGAATACGATGAAGTGGTTCTCAAAGAGATGCTTACTCACGACGTTTCGTTTCTAAATCGTGAACTCCAAATAGAAATGTCAAAAATAGCTGATCTTGAGTCGCGCCTCAATCTTCTTCCTGGGGACCCATCAGTAACTAGCAAACGCTTGGGACCCAAGCGGACGGTGTTTATTGAGTCAGTTGAAGAGGCCCGACTTATAAAATCTTCACCTGGAACATATGTCCCAACTCGTGTCTGCGCTAAACTGAAGAATAATGAGCTCGACGAATTCATGTCTTTGCAAGAGAATGGTTACCGGGAGCTTTCCGAAAGACTTGATCGTGCTGAGAAGCTAAAACTTGCGATTCAAAAACGCGCAGCGAAGCACAACGTTATGGTATGCCATTTGTTCATTTTGCTGTTTTGCTTTGTTCCCATATGCATCAGATCACTTTTGCCGGCGGACCCTATGAAACTTAAATTTATGGATCTATATAACGTATCTTCTCTATCTTGGTTGGTCACCTTCCCTGTCATTCGCTGCGTGTTAACGAGATATCTTGTCCCGTAGAAATTGTTTCAGTCGTACACTTAGTCGTCATTTTTCGTCATATGAGCGCTTTATACACCAGTCTGTAGCATAATCCGGTCTTTGACTCCTATTTTCGAGTTTTTATGAGTGCATTGTATCGACTTGCCTTCTTACTGGTTACCTACTACTGACACTTTCCACCATCACCGTGACCCGCCCTGGTTTCTTTTCTAAGACGCGTGTCATGATTTTTCTGTGGTAGTCTATATTTAAGCATTTGGCTGGACCATTCAGCCTGACAACAAAGGTAGAATCTGCGTTTTGTGATTTGTAAGAAAGCGCCCAAACTGCGTGCTTCCTCAGAGAAAATCCTGCACTGATGTGCACCATATGTGACAGCTTGGTCTATCGGTCTTCTTGGGCCAGTAAATCCTAGTACAAGATTTGTCTACCACTCCAACTGCGCTGGGGCACCATTTTCAGGGCCCCCGCCTGTCCCTTCCAGGAATTCGGATTGTTTTGTTTCTATAATTAACGTGGCTGCCTCACTGAAGTAGTCGTTGGCGGAGATGGTCTCGTGCCGTACGTCCAACGAGTTTGTTGTGTAGTATGATAGGCGGGGTATTTTCTTGCTTACCGGAGTACACAGAGTCGAGTCCCCGTTTTCTCGACTTTGCCTTTACGATGCTTGTCGATTGATGTCAAGAATAGAAGCCATTGTTAATATAAATTGCGCGATGTTGAGGTCGTTCTTAACGCTTCAGCCATAAGATATATGCGGTGTTTTCAAATGCACGATTACCGGGTAATTCGGATCAAATATTAGTTGTTTTCCAAAGGTCCGGAGCCATTTACGTTGCCGTTATTAGCGGTTAGTCTGATGGTCTTTAACAAGAACCACTAGATGCTGCCTTGTGGTTTGGGCCAAATTGCCGTTGTCGGTCTTTCCGGTGCGTTCGTACTGGCGTAAAAGGTCGCATGCATTTAACGTAAGCGATTCGTAGTACGTATGCGCCGTCGAAAACGTTTTCCTAGAATAATAATTCAAAAGGGCGGAAGCTGCGTGTCAAAATCAGGTCTGGCGGTTACGTCGTCCAACTTATTCCGTTCTGTCAGAGGGACCGACACTTACGATTTTACAAGAACGTAATATTGCTTCTCCGTTCTGTTTGAAAATTGACTTTCCTTCAACTTCGCGGACTGGTGAAAATAGATACCAGCCGTCACAGACTTATTCCCCCCTTTCTGGTTCTCAAGGAGATGCTCAGGACATTTCGTCCCGATATCGTGAATTTCAAATGGAAGTGTCTAAAACAGCTTATTCGAAGTGGTGAATCCCACGGATGTTTTTTGGTCAGCTTTCCTTCCTTTTTCATTCTCACACCACCTAACTGAATTTGAAATTTAGCAGCACTGCGGCGAGCTTTTACGACTAAATTCGAGTTTTTTCTCCCTTTCAGAAAAACAAAGGCGTCCGGTACAAGGTGGAATCAAAGGCCACAAAAAACCATCCACCCGTGTACAAATTTGAACATAAAAGATACCGTTAATTCCTCTAAAATCTTACCTTTGGCCGTTGCGTCTGCCCTCTCTAGTTGACTTTTGACCATCGCAGTAGTCGCAGAAGAAACGTTTAGTGTACTTATTCTCAGTTTGGCGGGCGACTTTTCCAAAATTTCTAATTTGCCGATGAAATAGATGCTTCGAATGGCATGTTACGCCTCCGACACATCCCAATCAGTCACTGTCTACTGAGGTCTACAGACATTGCCCAAGGAGCTACGGGTTCCTGCAGGGTACCTTGCTCTGTTCGTGTATGCCGACTTCTTTCCTAGAGTTATGACGCGTTCTTGCATTTGCTCCACGTGGCCACTACGAATGAAGCGAAGGCTGGAAATTAAAAGGCAGGCTGTTCAATCAACCTCGGCATGTGTATCGTAATTTCACTCGGGTTCCTTCTTCATTTTACACCCAGAGACAGTCAATTTGTCCTTTTTGATAGTGGAAATTTTACAACAATTCTGTCTGCACCACAAATCCGAGGATTATTGCCGCAGTTTATTGCGAATTCTTCGTTCATGACAGTCAGTAAGAAACCATCTTACCTAGAGCCGACTTGGATCATGTACATTAGAAATACCCTGAGGGAACCACTGTGCCCTGCCTCCCCCCTCCCCAGTCATGAGGAACTTCGAGTTATCCCATCACTCGTCGATCTCCCGAGCCAAAACCTCCAGTACGTCAAAGTTATTATTCGTAGACTGTGTTGGCTCCGTGTTAGGGCTGCCGTCCCCCCTACACATGTCGATCGAGGTACTGAGACCTTATGCAACATCGCAATCCGTTCTGATGGGTGTAGGCATGCGATGTCAGACTATGACCTAGGTTTGGCTAATCAAAACCAAACAATGGAGACGGCGGAGGTCCTGGGATTTGTAGCCCCCTCCGTTGGCGTCCACAAACTCGTAATCCCACCAATTCGTTGGGCATCGAGGGGAAATAACTGGGCTAGCTCGCCATGGACGGCCTGCGGATGTTGAACCCCCAAGAAACTCTCACCAAGAGTCGCCTCATTGCCGTCGTTCGCTGTCTAGTAACGACTGGTGGTGTGAAATTTACACCCCCCCGCCCCCGGTCAAGAGCAGTACGCCCCCTCCCTCGCTGTGCGAGGTCCTAGTCTTTTTTGCTGGACCAGGGTGGTGTTTGCACGCCTGGGGGATATCGCGCCGTGCCATCCATTTGCGGTAGCAGTAATTCATGCTATCAATACTCGGGCTTGAGATGAATAAACTACTGCGTTCTCCTTTGTTCAATCATCAAAGCATACCTATCCGCTGATCACGTTTACATTTCACATGGACAAATACGGGCCGTTCGCATTCTTAGATGTTTTACATGCGGGGAAAATTCAATAGGCAGTCCTACGGCAGATCTGTAGAATATTCGAAGTCACCCCTTACGGTTGCCAAGAGCGACTCGACCTGACAAATGTAACTGGCGTGACAGCAGGTGGGATGAATCTCCTTTCTACATCCGTTCTTGACAGCATAATGAGGAAATTGGTGGAAACCTCGAAATTAAGCCGTTTTTAGTGCTATTCCTCAAAGATGAAGCCGGGTTAAACCACGGACTATCTCTGTGCGCATGTATTCTTTCGGTTACTCCATTGGAACGGGCTCAATTGTTTGGAGTGATCGGCATTCCAAAGGCCTCACATAACATGTGTTGATTTGAATCTCAAAAGGAGAGCAATAGAGGGCTATGAGTGACCACCGTCCAATGTGTACGGGGGACAAAGGCGGACACAGGAAACTTTCCTGTTCTGATGGAAGTCACTGATGCGGCGCCTCATGCTTGCAGTGACCGGGACAGCGGTGGTCCCGTGGTTTAAACCGATAAAATGGGTGCCGATTTATGTAGGTGGATTTCTAGAAGTAACCGTCTAGCCAACTAATACTGTCCTCAACTGTGCGAGCACTGAAGGCAACCAAACTGACTGACTTACTCCCGCCAGATCCCCACTCTGCCTAATCTCACTACAGAATTTTGCTGGTCTGACTGTAAGCCACGGTGAACGTACGCACAGTATCCACAATGCTGTGCATAGAGGACGGACGATGAACAGGGAGTTAGCAGCAAGTTTTGTTCTAGCTCCAGTTGTCTTCGAAGCAGGTGGGTAGCTAATGGTCGACCACCTGCTTTGTCGCAATTAGGGTGAGTGATGGTAGATGCAATTCCACCATTAGTCGATTAAATTAGAGGGTACTCACCGATCGTTTTTGCGGAACTCATTCGTCCCGTTGTGCCTTAGGGCTCTCTCGAGCCCAACCAGCAGCCGCACAGCGGCGCGTGATACAGGCAATAAGCTATTACCGAAAAAGACAAGGGAGACTGGAGTGGCCACTTCTGGCGTATTTGCCGTCGTCAGCCAGTCATATCCAACCCCGAGGTGTGGAACACCTGGGGCTCGAACTCTCGACCTGTTAGTTACGAGTCCAACGCCTCTAACCAATGTATCACGTGATCGTTGTCCTGCCGGTTTCGATCAGGAATATACGACAGTTTGACCATCGATTTTGATGATGTCCACCGTATGCCCCACAGGAATATACACTGGTAGGGTGGCGCTCACAGATCGTCTCTACGGAACCCACAGGCTTTCTTCTTTTCTTTCTCTATGTTCGTCTGGACACGAGGATTGCCGATCCTAGCGTGAGCAGCAAAAGTCGGCACCAGCAGAAAATCTGAGCAATTCCCATTTTGCACTGCAGTTATTGCCGTCACATACAGTATCCTGTCCGATCTTTTCAACGTGACCTAATCCCCATACTGAAGGTAAAATTTAAAATATGTCCAGCTGTCACAACCGCAGAAGAGGGATTCTCAGTAGACATTTAAAATTCTACCTACTGGAACAACAGACGAAATAATAGAGAACATCAACTTCACGGAAGAAGATGTGAGGAAGGAATATTTGGCGTTTAGGGAGGGTTAGTCTCCAGGTCTAGACCAAATACTGGCAAGTGATCTGAAGAAGTTGGCTTGCGAACTCGCCAGACCGCTTCTGCATATCTTCAGGCCGTCCTTTGACCGAGGCATTCTCCCCTCTGATTGCAAAGTGGCAAACATGTACCCCACTCACAAGGGTGGATCTAGAACATGTGTAAACAATTATCGGCCTAACGTGCATCTGTTGCAAAGTCGTGGAGAGATTAGTCAAAAAAGCCATAATTAAGTTCCTTGAAGAAAATAATTTCATTGCTAGTTCCCAACATGGCTTTCGAAGAAATCATTCCTGCCTAACTAATATGCTCTATTCAACGGAACAGTGGTCCCGATCGTTAGATGAAGGAACAAGGGTCGATATTGTTTACATCGATTTCAAGAAAGCCTTTGATAGTGTTCCACACCATCGGTTACTTTACAAGGTCAGAGAGTCAGGAATAAGGGGAAACCTATTAAACTAGGTAAGGGACTTTCTGACTGGTCGATCACAGTCTGTGTGTATTGGTAGTGCGAAGTCAACGCCAGTGCTAGTTGTGAGTGGAGTTCCGCAAGGGTCTGTACACGGACCAGTACAGTTTTTAATCTATGTCAACAACTTTTTGAGTGGACTGGACTGCAATGGAGTCATGTTTGCCGATGACATCAAGTTATGACGAGCGATCAACAGGGAAAAGTATGAACGGGCCCTGCAAGGAGGAGATCTCATGCAGGTGCATCGGATTTCGAGGAACCGGGGCTTTGCCCTCAACCTTGACGATTCCTTCCCCCTGGCCACAACAACAAAACTGCGTGGGAACTCTCTAAACCTTAGAGGATCCCGATGCCGCCTGAACGTTCTCAGATACTCTTTTTCACAGCGAGTCGCCGATGCCTGGAACGGGTTTTCCGGGGACGTGATTATCGCGGATTCCATGGAGGTATTCAAGCAAAGACTCTATGTATATGTGCTTGGAAAATACCGCTTGTCTGGATGGAACAGCTCTGCTGTTCCAAACCAACGCCTTGCATACACCTACCGCTAATGCGCATGATTGTCATTTTACCGATATCGTCTACAACTGAATGATTCCGAGTTTCCGTCCAGCATTTTAAAGAAGATATTTTGTTAAGTGTATATATTACTGACAACATTTTAGTGCCATGTTTATTTAAAGTTATATATTTCGTGTACCGTTTTCAATAGGGTTCTCAAAGGCATTGCCTGATACCCTTAAAATATACTGACCTATAGCCTAACAAAAGTGGCTTTAAGGCGTCAAGTCGCTACCGTCGGGGTTTAGCAATCAAGAAAAAAGGAAAGAAGAACCAGCCCGACCGTATAAGAAAGACAAATAACCAGATATATTAAAGGTCATCAATAAGCGGGATCCATCAACCTGGTTTGGTGCTTTATTCAGGAAAGTAGAAGGCTCGAGAGGGTCGTGTTATTAAAGTAGGCTTAGTTTGTCCATCTTAATAAACAACGGAATATATTTTGTATAAGCCAGATTTTCAAATATTACAAACTGGATACCCAAAAGCTTCGTCAAGCAGCTATCAGTGAAGAATATGAGCTCTTAACAAGGCCATGCACGTCCAAGTACCCCGGTGGAGTTCTTCGAATTTGCTGATATTGGGTATTCTTGAAGATTTTTAGCGGCGGAAGTGTCAAACAAGTAGGACAAATTGGTATATTTCCTGTTGGCAGGAAAACGCAAAGCCCTTCATTTTGTGGAGAGTTACTTCAGATTGCCACCATAATGGCAGAACTATTTGCAACCTTTAAAAACTGTCAGGAGTAGAAGACTCCAAGTTCCTCTTTAAGCGCCCACAAGGCCATGCACGTCCAAGTACCCCGGTGGAGTTCTTCGAATTTGCTGATATTGGGTATTCTTGAAGATTTTTAGCGGCGGCAGTGTCAAACAAGTAGGACAAATTGGTGTATTTCCTGTTGGCAGGAAAACACAAAGCCCTTCATTTTGTGGAGAGTTACTTCAGATTGCCACCATAATGGCAGAACTATTTGCAACCTTTAAAAACTGTCAGGAGTAGAAGACTCCAAGTT